CGGTCTCTTCAGTCTCTTTGTTGAGACATTGAGGTTTCTGTACGCACCTCTTGGCATGTTGCATATAAATCAGGATTTTTTTTATTTCTGAAAGAGGAAGCTTGCTTATTAGGTGAAGAATGATGTATGTTCTGAAGCAGGCATAGAAAGAAAGTCAGGCTGCCCCCTTAGAATAGATAGGTAACATTTGATCACTCAGCCACATTTCTCACTGTATTAAGCTAAGCATCCAGAGTTGATTTCCTTAAATACATTTATACCAAAGATATCTTACAAAAATCAGATGACAATTCACATGGCTGGGAGGCATAATTTAGTTCTGGGGACCTTAGGAAACGGGAGGTGAGATTTAAAATCAGGACATAGTGTTTTGCATTGTATTAGGTTCCTTCATCTGTGAAAGCAGAAGGAATTTGGTTTACGAAAGAGAAAACATTTTCTCAGAAGGAAATCAATATTGCCTAGAAATAGAGGCTGAGATCATTGGATCAGAATCCATTGTGAATGCCTGTCCACACACTGAAGGTTTAGAAGGTTAACAGTGGCGACCTTTCTGCACCTGCCTACTAGCAGGGCACACTGAAGGATTTTGATATGTAAGGTCCTGGACTAGGTCCCTGGGCTCCTATTATAGTGGCAGAATTTTCTGTGACAGAATCCTCACTACCATGTACAAAGGAAGGCCACATTGAGATTCAAATTCATCAGAGAAGCTACCCTAGGACACAATGTCCTCCACAAAAGAAGCAATAAAGGAGGCAGCACTGTGATCACATGTAGCAAAATTTTCATTTAATGATGTATGACCTTTCCAAGTTCAAACCACCGTAGGGCAAGGCAAATGTGTCTGGAAGTTTGTAGGGTATAAAAGGTTGAACATTTCGTGTACTTACAAATTGCTAAAGGGATAAAATTATGTCTTAAGAGATAAATTCTACTGGAGTATGAGATCAGCGGGAGTAGAAAGAGCTCCGCCAGAGAGGTTCATTTTTCTTTCTCATCTGCTAATTTCTAATGAAGGCCAGGATGGGGATGGCAAGCTTTTCTCCTCCCTTTTTTCCCTCTGAAGTGTGGCTCCATCTTCCATGGTGCCCAGCACTTAGGATATTTATTCTCCTTTAAAGACCTCTGTGTGGGCATTGCCATTTGTCAGATGGGTTCTTGGCGTTGTTAATTCCTGTGACTGCTCTAGTCTGGAACATTCTACCCCTATTTTCTGTGAAGTTTGGGGGTAATGACTATGTCACCTCTAAGAATATATTCCTCCAGCTTTGTAGTAAAGCACATGCTGCAAAGTTTGAATAGTTTTGTACGTTTGTACGACGTAATTAGACAGGCAAACGAAGTTGGATAATCCAGGCTGCCCAAAGTTTCACTTAGATTTCTTGCAAAAAAAAAAAAAAAAAGTTTGTGAATTTGACATTACTAATATACTTTAAGTATTCCAACTTGTTTGTGCATTAGGTAATAAAGCCAACATTCCTAGATGTTCTATTTTATCTTGATTAATAGGTGTTTCCACACATAGAAATGACTTAAGTCAACTGTTAAAAATGAGTCCTAAAATAGTCCCTGGGAAGCCTGTTTTCTCCAGCTGTACACAGAGTCTGGGCTTAAGTATACTGTGGTGGGAAATCTGAGGTGATCCTGATTTCTCCTGGTTTTAAAATACAAAAAAAATTGTACTGCCAAAAGCGAAAACTTAGAAGTACTGAGACCCAAGGCCTTCTTATTGGTACTATTAACTTAGAGTTGGCTCCTTTAATGACTCCCTTGGTATGCTTTAGGACACTGTGTTAAAGGAATGATATGTAGGGGTGTGCTTTCATTGATGGGCATTTTCAATACACTTCGGTAAGGCATGTCCAGCCTACAACCCACAGACTACATGCATCCCAGGAGAGCTACAAACATGGCCCAACACATTTGTAGATCACAGTGTCAAAAGGTTGGACCCCCGCTCCTGGATACTTCTCTGTTCATTGGTGAGCTGTGAATTCTTTTGTCATTTGCATGCCTAGAAACTGAGCAGGTCACGTTCTGTAGGTGTGGGACTTAGCACTGAAGAACATGGGACTGACTGGCTCTGAAAATTCCTGCTTTTAAAGTGAGGAAGGCTTGGCACATACCTCTCTGGTATTCGAAACCTTTTCTTGAAAACCTCTAGATACCAGCTAGCCATAGTGGCTCATGCCTATAAAAATTTTAACAGTTAAGAGGTCAAAGTAGAAGGTTGACCACAAGTTCAAGACCAGCCCTGGGCTACAGAATTAGATAGACTTTGTCTCAAAGAAAAGCCAAGACAAAGCGCCTGGATACCCAGAAAGGGAGTTTGCTGTGTTTTCTAACATTTTTTCTTTTTGTATGACCCAGCACCTGTGTTTTCACCATAAAGTTAGAGCTCAGCGATACCAAAGGCAGGGCTCCTTTTAGGTGCAAATCAGTGCGCTTCTTGAGTATAGAAATCTTTAGAATCCACTAATGCTTTTCTAGACTTTGAAAGAGTGATAGTAAAAAGAAAGAACTCAGTAAGGGAGAATGACTGCTTTTCAAATATGGCCCAAGATGATAGGGTCTGAAGGGCTGATTCCATTAGGCTCGGTGTGCTGCACAGATTGTTCCCTTGCCATTGGTTCTTAGGAACCACTGATCATTTGAGTTCCTTGTAGTTATTCTTTCATTTTACTTATTTTGTGGTACCAAGGGTTAAAACCAGGGCCTCGTGTGTGTTAGTTACACAAGGATCCTGCCCCTAAGCTGTATTCTCAGCCTTTTGAAACTTAAAAAAAAAAATAAATCATGTGATGACAGTTTCATTACATTGTATTGGCTAGCTTTGAACTCATTCTGTCGTACAAACAGGCGTTGGACCTGTGGTCCTTCTCTATCAGTCTCCTGAGTAGCAAGGGTCGCAAGTCTGTACCACCAGGCTGACATGGCATATACCCTTACTAAAGAATCACTTGGTTTCTCAAATCAGCCCTTAGCAAGAAAACAAGAGTCTTGTAGGAGATGGAAGAGACCAGCTAGAACAAATGGAGAGTGATTTTCCATAGGCTCCAGGTACTCATGCCTGTAGGCGACAGGAAGTTGAACAGATGCCTCACAGTAACTTAGTAACTCGGGGAGATACGCCTGGCTTCCTTGTGTGTATGCACTGTGTATCTAACCTAGGCACACAAGGGAACCTCCCTGGTATTCTTCCCTATTGACCTGACGGTGATCGAACTGCGCTAGGCAACTGTTGTACAGAAACATGGCTCATTTGCTCCCTGGGTCAGCTCTTTGAGATGAGGGGCCTGGAGGTGGGAGTGTAAAGCAGTGGGCATTGTGTGTGTTCCATGGCTTCCTTTCCCTTGGTGAGTGACAGGCTGCAGGGACTGACTGACAGGGGTCTGAGTGAGAGTTCATCAGCCTCTGGCCGAGCCGCCCAAGCGGGTTCCCAGACAAAGGGTGTGGTTTCCTTAGCTCACTCTCTGCTATTTGGTTGCCTATGGCAACAAGATCCAAACAACTTGGACATGTGGTTGTATTTAAAAAAAAGCCTTGGGAATGGAAGCCGGAGCAGGAGTTTGGGGCCATTCACTTGGTGAAGAGCTGCGGTGAGTAGAGGGTGACTGCTCCTTTCTTCCCACTCTGCTACATTACACGCTGGACGATTAGTCGGGTTCAGATAGTCACAGTTCTTGGACTTCTAGCAGAAATTAAATAATTGCTGTCTGTTTAGTCATGTAAATTCCTTGTTTTAAGTGGGAGAGGAACAATTAGCACATGTGTAAAGAAATTGGGAACTAATAGAAACCCGAATTTGGTGCCTTCCTGGTGGCAGGAGTCTCTGAAAAATGACTTACTTGGCAAAGGGGCTACGGAAAAGCTAGCAGGGCTCTGGGTCTTGGCAGGCCTGTTCTGTATGGTTATCTAGGGCCACAGCTGGGGTGAGGGTTGGGAGCAGAGGGAGTTGGTGCATGCGAAGGGGATGGAGAGAGGAGGGTCTTGAAATGAATAGTTTAACCCTTTGCAAAAGTCAGTTTTCCAGATTATACTTGAAACTTTTGCGAATATACTGAAAGGTAACACTTGAGTGAATAGGCCAGTAATCATTGCTTTGACCTCAGAAAGATTTGATTTTGATTCTTCATAAAACTGCACCTCACTGTGGCAAATAATTCATAATTGCAAACGTGCCTGTGTCAGGCAAGAGTGCCACTCTGTAGCTCTGTTGCCCAGGCCTCAGCTATCAATAAAGTATCTGGGACAAAACTTTTTGGGATCTCCTTGAGGAATGAAACTGCTTCTGCTGTGTTCCAAGTCCACTTTAACATTTGAAACAAGTTTGTGAGGGCCGCAGGTGTGCCTGGTGGTAAGGACTTAGCTGTTAAACTTCTGTTCTGATTAATAGAACTGTGTAGATGGCAGGGAAGTGGGACCACCAGGAAACACCCCCCACCCCCCACCCCCCGCAAAGGTGACATGGTGTGAGGTGAAAGCTAGCAGGGAGGCTTCTGGCCCAGGAGCAGTGGGCCCGACCCTGCTGTGCTGCTCCTTTTGAATTGTCTGTGCTAGCCAATAGGGCAGCACACAGACCAGTGCTGTGGTGCACAGATACACCTGCCTTCCCAGTAGTCTTCTCCCTTTTCCTGCCCACCTCACCTTTCCGTTCCCCTCTCCATTCCTGGTCACTGTTTAACAATGGATGAATCTCCCAGAATCCCCGTGTGGTGACATTAGCATAAGCACTGGTCTACTTGTCCTCCTTAGTGTCCTCTGTGAGTCAGCATAGCTGACATGTCCCCAGGGAGTCACTGGCCCTTGACGTGTGGCACTTAGACTTCAAATCAGAGGTATTTTCTTCCTGGGAGCCATAGTGAAGTATCAGTTGCCGTGGCATTTGGTAACTAGCCAGGCTTAAGTGGAAGCTGGGCCCCGAGGACTCAGAGAGTTTTCCTAGCTACCCTTGTAGTTCCCCCTTGCTCATTTCTTCTGCTTGCTCGCCTCCACAGGTCCCTCCAGCTATAAGGTGGGCACCATGTCTGAGAAGTTCGACTGTCACTACTGCAGGGACCCCCTGCAGGGGAAGAAGTATGTGCAGAAGGATGGCCACCATTGCTGCCTGAAGTGCTTTGACAAGTTCTGCGCCAACACCTGCGTGGAGTGCCGCAAGCCCATAAGTGCTGATGCCAAGGTAACTTTGGTTCCTGAGGGGGAGCAGGGCAGGCTGGGCTTCATGTGTTTTCTTGCAGCCTTGTCAGCAATACCGCCATCTTGAGTTTTCATCACAGCAGCCTTATGTACTTGAGACAGGCTCTCGGCTTCCCAGGGTACTTCTGGTACCCCTAACATAAAAAGGGATAATACGGGCCTTGGCCAAGATGGCCCACTAAGGCCTTTGCCAGCTCTTGCGTTATACAGGTTGAATGGCTTTTTTCTGAAGTGCTTGAGTTTGGATTTTCTTATTTTATAATTCTTCCACATATTTAATGAAAGATCTTGAGAATGATACCCAAGTCTAAACACAAAACTTATTCCCATTCGGTTTATCCTCTGTGTACATAGCCTGAAGGTGATTTTGTACAGTGTTTTTATTTTTTAATTAAATATAATTATATCATTTTCTCCTTTCCTCCTTCCAACCCCTTTTGGGCATTCTCCAGCCCCCGCACTCTTTTTTCTCAAATTCATGACCTCTGGCCTCCTTTTCTTTTATTGTTGTTACTTTTTTAAAGTAATTGTGCGTGGAATGACATTTATGTGCTGTAGCTAAAGGTACTGGAAGGGTCTTGTTTTCCCCAGGGACACAGGATAAACTATGTGTTGTGCTTTGACATTGTGACTATGACCCAGCACATGAGACCAGATGTGCTTTTCTTCTGTGGGATCTATTAACCCTCAAAAAGCTTCAGATTTTGGAGCGTTTTGGATTTCAGATTTGTGATGAGGGCTCTCCTACCTCTCCTCTTATGTCCTTTGGGAACTATGAGGCTTTCGTCTCCACTACAGTATTCTTCCTGTTCCTCCTAAAAGCACTCACCACAGGGCATCCCCACATGGAAGGGGCTGACATCTGAGTGAGTAGTTACCTGGCCCTGGAGAACCTGGTATCTGATGGTAAGGCTCCTGCCGCTGCCCCCAGTGCCCCTCACAGTGGCCACCCTGCTCTGCTTGATGTCCAGGAGGTGCACTATAAGAATCGCTACTGGCACGACACCTGCTTCCGTTGTGCCAAGTGCCTTCACCCCTTGGCCAGCGAGACCTTTGTGTCCAAGGATGGCAAGATCCTGTGCAACAAATGCGCCACTCGGGAGGACTCCCCCAGGTGCAAAGGGTGCTTCAAGGCCATTGTGGCAGGTACTGGCCCCTTCCCACCCTCAGGGCAGACATGATGTGTGCTTGCTTGTCAGGGTGGGGCTAACATTGCTGTGAGCTGCTTTGAGATTTTAGCATATGTATGTACACATATACACACACGTCTATATGCGTACATATATATGCTCGCACACACGCACACACTCGGAGACTAAAGAACACTGGCGAGAGCAGTCTGTGCCAAGAGAATGAAGTGAAAAGTATGTAGCGTTTTCTCCTTTGGGTGTAGTAAGTGATCGATGCATGCTTCTTCCTCTGGCATTTTTGGCTTAGGTAGTCCCCCTCGTGAAACTCTTAAGTCATTGCAGGGGTGGAGGTGGGGGAGGGGGCGCTCAGGTACTTCCTCCTCAATAGTACTGCCAGGATCCCCACCTGTAACAGAAGCCTGGGTTGGCATGATTGCAAGTAACACACAAGGATAGGTTGAGGGAGGCCACTGACTGCAGGGCCTGCATCCCCTCCCCTCTGGGGGTGGGCTGGGGAGCTGAGTGGATGCAGCCCCCTGCAGAGCCTGTCAGTGGGGCTATCGGATTGCTTCCTTTGCAGGAGACCAGAACGTGGAGTACAAGGGCACCATCTGGCATAAAGACTGCTTCACCTGCAGCAACTGCAAGCAAGTCATTGGGACCGGAAGCTTCTTCCCCAAAGGGGAGGACTTCTACTGTGTGACTTGCCATGAGACCAAGTTCGCCAAGCATTGCGTGAAATGCAACAAGGTATGTTGTGGTAATTGTGCATTGAGTGTTGTTCCCTAGTGTTTGACAGTTTGCAGAGCTCTTGCACACGCACACTATCTCATTCCATCCTCATGATAGCCCTGTGACGTAGGAATTATTGTGCCCATTTTACAGACGAGGAGCCTGGGGTTAGAAAGCATTGCCACAGCTGTTTCTGGCTGTCAGTGTATGTGCCCCTCCATTCTGAGCCAGGCAGCCCTGACTCTGGAGGCCTGCCTCCTCTACTTCATTGGCTTCTGAAGAGGCTCACCATCTCTAGGCCTTGGTGTCTTCATCTGTAAATTGGGGATAATAATAGCACCTGCCTCCCATGGCTGTAATGGCGATGAAATGAGATACTGTAGACCAAAGCACCCAGCACAGTGCCTGGTTGTTGAATCTGAATCCCGGTGCTACACTCCCTGGTCTAGGCCATCACATCTGGAGGAATCACTTACCAGGATCAGCCCTGGCATGCCGAGTGCTTTGTGTGTGTTACCTGCTCTAAGAAGCTGGCTGGGCAGCGTTTCACCGCTGTGGAGGACCAGTATTACTGCGTGGATTGCTACAAGAGCTTTGTGGCCAAGAAGTGTGCTGGATGCAAGAACCCCATCACTGGTAGGCTAAAGAGTCCTTGCTAAGTCTGCCAGGCTAGGTTTTGTGCATGGTAACCATCTCTCATTTCCTGGCGTCGGTTTCATCCACAAAGGCCCCCAGACAATGCCCTTTTGCCCCTACCATTGTGGCCCCAAAGGCCCCCCCCCCCCCAAGTAGTTTGGATTATCTCCCAGGCCAGGTTAACCTTGCAATGCAGAACACTTCCTGACTACTGTTGACCAACTAACCATGCCAGTTTACAAGCCTGAGAGCAAGGCACTGCACAGGGGTGAAATGGGGGGGGGGGGGGGCAAGGGCAAGGGGTGGGAGGGGCTGGTGGCGGGAGAGCGAGGAGAGGGAGGGAGGGAAAGGAGGGAATGGGGAGGGCTAGGGAGGCTGGAAAGCTAAAACCTGGCATTATACCACCCCATAGTGGAAGGCTAGTGCAGAGGGGCCTGCTAGCAGGGTCATTTTTATTTATTTTTAATCTTTTTGTGATCAGAAGCAAAGCTAATCACTTCATTCCTCATCTTGCGGCCGCGATCCACGTGCCCTGAGCCCTTTCCCTTGCCTCCAATTTTCCCATCTCCCCGGGGAGCCTTGAAATGTACATTTGAGAAGACTTTTGCCATCCTCAGGGAAAAGGACTGTGTCAAGAGTGAGCCACCCAGTCTCTAAAGCTAGGAAGCCCCCAGTGTGCCACGGGAAACGCTTGCCTCTCACCCTGTTTCCCAGCGCCAACCTCCGGGGCAGGCATCCGGGTGGAGAGAGGACTTGTCCCTCGTGGGTGGTGGTTCTTTATAGAAAAAATCGAAGCTTAGCAGCTCCTCGAGGCCCGGTAAGTGCACACCCCACAAACAGCCCAAGTTTGCCTCCTGGTGGCCACTTTGATGCCATGGCCCTGACTTTAAAAGACACTGGTTATGCTGGGAGGTCGGTGCGCGTCACAGAGCTATAGTGGTGGTGGCATGGGAACAGGGGTTCTTGAAATCAGGGAAGCCATTGGCTGAGCTCTGGCATCTTTTCAGGTCCTTGACAGCCATAGAAGGGTTGCGGCGGCGCGGGGGACAGTGGCGGCGCGGGGGACAGTGCGCGGTGGGAGACAGTGCGCGGTCGGTCGAGTAGAGGGGAGCAGAGAGCCGGGCAGACACTGACTGTGTGCCTGTCGGCTCTATGATCGGGCAAGTTGTCGTTTTATCTCTGACTCCTGGCTTCCTCATCAGTCTTCATTCAGCTGTCTCTCTGTTTTCTTGTGCTTTTCCACAGGGTTTGGTAAAGGCTCCAGTGTGGTGGCCTATGAAGGACAATCCTGGCACGACTACTGCTTCCACTGCAAAAAATGCTCCGTGAATCTGGCCAACAAGCGCTTTGTGTTTCATAATGAGCAGGTGTATTGCCCTGACTGTGCCAAAAAGCTGTAACTTGACAGGGGCTCCTGTCCTGTAAAATGCTTTGTGTCCTTTGCTCACTCCCTCTGTACCATCCATAGGGGAAGAGTGGGTTTTCACCTCTTTAAAGTTGCTCCTTCTGTCTTTTCTCCCATTTTACAGTATTAATCAACCAAGGGCACACAGTGATCATATTAGGAATTAGCAAAGAGCAACCTTGCAGCAAAAATAATTTCTCTGTTGCTGCAGTGGAAAAACAAAAAAACAAAAAAAAACAAAAAACAAACAAAAAAAACTTAGATTGACTCTTCTGCATGTTTCTCATAGAGCAGAAAAGTGCTAACCATGTAGCCACTTGATGATGTAAGCAAGAAGCATAGGTGATAAGGCTCCCACTGAGATGCCTTTCAGGGCTCATCTGGGACCCACTGTGCGGTCACATGACTGATGTGCAAGAGTTGTAGCGGCTGCTCCAACTCACTGCTCACCTTATTCTGTGAGCAGTAAAGAACCTGCCAGAATGCATGGTTGAACTTCATCAAAACTCTGTCCTTCCTTCTGTTCTTTTGTGCTTTCACATGACTAACACAAATTTCCAGAAAATTAACATTTTAAACTTAGCTGTAATTCTTAACTGACGTTTCCCTGTACTAACGTTTGACTCCCCCACGTGGCGTGTTCTCTGAGTGTTCCTACTTTAAAGCCTGGAGCACACAGGTGATTTGGAAAGTCTAAGAAGATCTGAGAAACAAGCCTGTTTCAGAACAACATCGTCACAGTGACTACTTCTGGAAGCTTAACAAAACTAACCCTCCTGTTCTTTTTAATTTTTTTAAAAAATTTGTTTTAATTAATAGTAAAAATAGTTTATGGGTTTGGAAACTTGCATGACAATATTTGCGCCTCCTCAGACGTTCCTGCAGTTTTGAGAGACAAAAACTCTAGAGTGCCAGCTGAGCAGGCACAGGGCTGTCGTCAACAAGAATAGAACATTTCAAAATCGGGACAAGTTGAATCCCTTGTAACAGAGTTGTCTGCTCTTGGTCTGTGTTCAAGACTGCAAAGTCCTTTATCTTGTGATTCTTAGAACTTTCCCTCAAGAGTTTAGCAGGTCTCGGGGGCTGTTGGGGGTGGTTTCCCACCTCCTGCTTCTCTGAAATGCAGGATACCTACTTAACTGTATTCTCCATTATGATATTACATATATAAAGAGACAATATCAAAGTAAACATGTAATGAAAATACAGATTCATATATTACTGTAGCAGTGGTTGTAGATGCCGACACCTCATTTCCACATGTTGTCATTAGCTGTTTCCATCTAACGTTTCAGTGTATCCTTACGAAAATAAAGCAGCATAGAAAGAACACGTCTCCTGTCCTTTTCATTCTGCCCAGAGGAAGCACATGAATATAATGTGCTGCTGCCCCAGAAACTCGGGGACCTTGTTCCTGACATCAAGATATACTCAGTTCAGGCCGGGCGGTGGTGGCGCACGCCTTTAATCCCAGCACTCGGGAGGCAGAGCCAGGCGGATCTCTGTGAGTTCAAGGCTAGCCTGGGCTACAGAGTGAGTTCCAGGAAAGGCGCAAAGTTGCACAGAGAAACCCTGTCTCGGAAAAAAAAAAAAAAAAAAAAAAAAGATATACTCAGTTCAATGCTATACACAAACCTGTTGCACTGCTCTGGTCCAGTTTTAAAAAAAAAAAAGTCTCAAAGTGTTGCCCAGATTTCCACATTCCACAAAAGGCAAGAACTGATGGTTCTTACTTGGACAGGCTAGCACAGGCAGGGAGCATCCCCGATGAGGCCACTTGAGAAGGAATCGGGGGTTTTCCTCCCTTCCTTCCTTTCCCTTTGTTCCTCTCGAGCCTGGGATCCGTGTGCTGTTGTAGCTTCATCACCTGCCCTTCCTGCCTGCATCCTCCCTGTGCTTGGGGCATATGTCTCCTGTTGGGAGACTGGGGAGAGCAGAGGGAGAGGCTGGCTCGGTATAGTGTGCATCTGTGTGGTTGGAATGCCTGAAGCTCATCCTCTTACCCATCCACACTTCCCCTACCCTGGGGGTGATTTTAAGAGGGCCCAAGGGGCCAACTGCAATGGCAGTGGCAATGGGTGACTGCTGTGCTCCCTTCCTGTGCCCAGTCCTTCCTCCCATAGGATGCTCTAAAAGCCTTGGGGTAACTTTGATAAGCTACACTTCAGCTAAAGGTGGGTTGGAGGGGTGGCAGCGTTAGGCTTTCACAAGCCCCACTCTAGCAAAATAAAAATTTGTCCTCTTTGGTGGGTGTCAGACTCTTGAGAAATCCTGGGATCGGAATGGTCTCTCTTCTTCAACTGAAGCATTTGCCGTCTGAGAAGGGTTGAGACCTGTCAGAATCCACCTCAAGCCTTTTGTCCGTTGTGCTGCAGACTGAACCCAGACCTCTTAATGATCATGAAGAGTGTGGAACTTCCCCCTGGGTGTGTCTCTTTTTAGAGAGGTTACCTGTGGAAGCCCCCCTAAACCACTGAAAGAGCCTATCTGGGTTTCTGAGGCCCCACCTCTGCACCATGCCGGCATCCTCCACCTCTGTGAGCTCTGCTTTTCTTGCTCTCAGCCTCGTCGTTCTGCCCAGCACCCCTTCCCTTCCCAGAGTTCCAAACCCCCCTCCCCAGCATGAGGGGTGTGGCCTCCAGTCCGGTGGCCGCTCGGTCTCTTCTCAGCTTCATGTCCCTGAGTCTTCACTGACTCCTGCTTCTATCACTTCAGCCGTTCTTTCATGGCCTCAGCCGTCACCCCTCCTGTGCTTCTACTGCGCTGGAAAACGTCAGCTGGTGTCTTGACTTGTGCTGAAGAAAAGTCGCATGGCCTAAAATGCCCAGAACCACCTGTACCACTTGCTCCAGCCTGCAATAGTCACTTCAACACCCCCCCCCCCAAAAAAAAAACAACGCCCTGCCTTCCTTACCCAAGAAACAGGCCCACCAGGCATGTCTCTGCAGCTGTTTGCCCTCAACACTGATCTTTAGAAGCAAACACGTCCTTCACACTGGGTCTAATCTCAACCAATGCTGGGCCCATTTTCCAGGTGAGAAAAGCACAAGTTACACAGCTCATTGGAGAGAGGCCATTCTGGGCATACTACTAGTATGTCAATTATGACTGCACTGTCACAGAAATGGACATATCAATAAGGAAATTCATCAGGATACCCACTACTTTAGAAGACACCTATTTATTGTATGACAGGGCTCAAGAAAAATGGGGTTACATATGTAGTTACTACACTGTCAGCAGAGAGGCATCATCAGGGTAAGAACATAGCAACCTATTCCAAACGGGAATGACTGAAGCCAGGTTGCCTGGGTTCAAATCCTAGGCAAGTGATGACTCACTAAGCTTATTTCTCACTTAAAATGAGATAGAATGGCTCATTTCAAAATCGTATGCATATGATAGGATCATAGGAGAGCTTAGTGGGGACTGGTATCACGTTAATATGCAATCGGTGTTAGCAAGGATTCTGTCTGCAGCACCAGATACTACTGCTTTGGTGTCTTTGACCTACTCTACAAATCACACTATACCACTCATGGAGCGTGTGGAGGGTTGATCCAAGTCAGACAGACTCGGATTTGGACACTAGTGCCACCACTTTCTAGGCGGGTGATTGAAATACATATCAGTGTCTGTGTATTGCCATGTTGTTTTAGGTAGAAATACCCGCACACGTGCCTCCCAGAGATGCTGTGAAGACTGCCCAGTTTGGCCTCCCTAGGATCTGGCACTTTGTACATGGATACCAGACTTCAATGGCCTCATTGCAGCTGGGGAAGTCAGGAAGAGTGGCTAGGGCCTATGGGGAAACAGGAATGCTGGGAACGGAGACCTGGCTGCTGCTTTGACTAATTGGGGAAGACACTGAGAGTGAGCATTGACCTTTGGCACTAGCTACTCCTATGTCTGAACACCCTAGCTCTAGGCACAGAGAGTGGCCTTTAGGAATGAAAATGCCCAGGGATTGCAGTAAGGGTCCCTTTGCCTGATAAGGAGGGCCCAGAGGGGAGGCAGCATATGACCACACCTAGCAAACTGGCAGCTTCCTCAGCTGGGGTTCCAGTCTTTGGAGTCCTCTGTAGGATTCCTTGTAGTACCCATGCTGTACTTCTGGGGAGTCTGGGCACTGAGCCTGTTCAAAGCATCATTCTACATGTTGTGGTCATGGTAACAAGGGCATAGTTAGTGCCCTGCACTGAAGAATCTGTGTCCCTTAGGGGACAAGATATAATAATAGGAAGGACAATGTGAAGAAGCTAACACACGGAGAGTGGTCTTACAAAGTCTTAGCACCTTGGAGCTGTGAACAAAACACAGTGGTTCCAACAGGTGGATTGATAGGACCTGGTGCTGACAGGAATGAGATATGTCTAGATTGTGCTGATTCAAATATACATAGAAAATGCTAGAATGTTGGCAAGAGATAGCTCAGGTGGGTAAAGGTATTTGTCACCAAGCCAGATGGCCTGACTTTGATTCCCAGCCCCCACATGGTGAAAGAACTGCAATTTATCTTCTGACCTACGTCTACATGCATGCCATGAGACACCCACCACCAACCACACAAAGTAAGTAAATGTAAAAAGAAACCCTCTAGAATAGTAAGCAAGGAATGGTTGCCATAGTCTTATAAACATCAGATCACAAAGACTAGGGATAAATACGGGCCTAGCTGTATGAAAAGCAAATATAAGTGAGGTAAAGCATGACTAACAGATTGAATTAACTGATGGATTTGTTCAGTGGGAATTTCCATCTTCCAGCTTGAGTCACCTAGAGTGCTAGGATTACAAGCATTGTGCACAAACCATATTTTAATATTAGAACCTTGGAGCCAGGTGGTGCTGGTGCACACTTTTAATCCCAGCACTTGGGAGGCGGAGGCAGGTGAATCTCTGTGAGTTCAAGGCCAGCCTAGTTTACACAGTGAGTTGTAGGACCACCAGGGCTACATAGAGAAACCCTGTTTGAAAAATCTTGAAAAATAAAAAAACAAAACAAAACATTAGAACCTTGGGCCAGTAAGATGGTTCAATGGGTAGAGCACTTGCTATGCAAACCTGATAATCCGAGTTTGACCCTTGGAACAAGGTAAAAGTGGAAGGTGGGAGAGAACTGACCCCCAAAAGTTGTTCACTGACCTCCACAAACACACTGTAGCCCGCATGTTCCCACACTCACGACAATGACGATGACGATGATGATGATGATGGAAGCCAAAAATTATGCAGGCATGTCAGGACATATGTCAGGCATGTTACAGTAATGCCACAAAGAAATGTGTACATTAAGAGCATCCAAACTGCCTCACATTTATAAAGAAAATAAAGGGGGAAAAGTTACAAGTTGGGGAGATGGCTCAGTTGGTAAAGTGTTTGCCTCTTAAGCATAAGACCTGAATTTGATCCAAAGCTCCCACATAAAACCTTGGGATGTGGTACTCATACTGGTAACTTCGGTGCTAGGGAGGTGGAGACAAGACTAGCCTAATCAGTAAGCCGCAGGTCTCAGTGAGAGACCCTGTCTCAAAAAATACAGTGAAGGGCTCCCGAGGAATGACACGAGACTGATCTCTGGCTTCCATGTGCATATACATATATGTGTGCATACCCCACACTCACATGTGTACGGACCTGAACATATATATGCCCCCCATAGCATTTGCAAAAAAATGTTTCCATCAGAGGGAAATACCAAATCTAAGGGTTAAAAGGGCCAGGGGTGGAGGAAATGGGTTTCTTTGAAGAGAATGTTTTAAAACAAGACAGTGGGGATGGTTACACAACCTTGTGCCTACATACTTGTGTTAAAATGGTGATTTCTAACTGGGTGAAATGGCTCATACCTGCAACTATATGGGAGGCTGAGTCAGAAGGCAGCTTGAATTCACAAGTTCATGACCAAACTGGGCAACACAGCAATATCCAGACTCACTAACTAACAAATAAATAAACAATAGCAGAATGTAATTAATGCATGATTATTACATTATTTACTGTAGTGAAAAGGAAAAAACAAAACAAAAAGCCTACTTTAACAATGGACCTCAGCTATAACAGCTCAGGCGGCAAAGAATAAAGACTGGTTCTGCTGGACTGTGATGACACACGCCTTTAATCCCAGTACTTTGGAGGCAGAGGCAGGTGATGTCTGTGAGTTCGAGGCCAGTCTGGTCTATAGAGAAAGTTTCAGGACAGCCGTGTCTACACACAGAGACACCCTGTCTCAAAAGCCCAAAACAAACAAAAAGACCAGAGTTTGAAGATGCATTTTTTCTGTTCCAAACCTGGAACTCTGCTAAATCACCAACTGAACGCATAGATCTGGTTATTATTTGTTAGACTTGCCAGTGGCCTGCATTCATAACTTGCTTGACACTTGGTATCACCTTTACATCACCACCAGTGCATTTTTATTATAATGAAACAAAGCTTGTTTTATCTGAGACATTTATTTCATATGGCACATACTTACAGAAAGTATTTCGGCACATGACATTTGTAGAGAAAAACATCAGAAGGTCATCTTTTAGGATGATTGCCTTTTGCTGTCTACATGTAAGAAGCAGTATCTAAAAATAGATTTTAAAGCTAAGGCCCCTGCCCTAATACATAACAAAGGTAGCAAAGGACCAAGAATCAGAACATAAAATTACCTCCTTTTGGGAATCCAGGATTGGTGGCCAAAGGAACACTGGCCTATTTTAAACCATTTGTGACTCAACACTGAAGCTTGGTGGTGTTAGGACAAGGAATGTGTTTGCTACTTTTATGGACTCACATCACCTTTGTGTGCACATGTGCAAATGCACACATGTGTATGTCCATGTGCCTGGCACCAGAACGGAAGAATAGCACTGCTCTTGTCTTCACTTGTTGCAAGCGCCCACAAAAGGCAAGCATGCTTTGTTTCTATGTCCCAAGCCTGAGTGTATACTGAAGGACAGGCCTGGGAAGCAAGTCAGAAAAGGCTCTAAGTACACACTATTTGAAGGAATTAATCGTACTCTGTGAGACAACAGCCAAGTACTGTCGCAACAAAATAGAGCTCGTTTTGTGCATAAATCCTGCTAGGTACTTCAAGATGAAACACTGATGAGAGAGAGCATGGTTCCAAACAAGATTTTCTGGTTCTGGCATTTGGAGGTACCAGCACTGGACAGGGATGAGAGCTGTTTAAAAAGTGTACATATGAGGGCTTGGGGATTTAGCTCAGTGGTAGAGCGCTTGCCTAGCAAGCGCAGGCCCTGGGTTCAGTCCTCAGCTCTGGAAAAAAAAAGTGTACCTATGTATAGGCAATAATGCTGTGCTGCTCCGCAACCTTTGCTGTCTATTAGGCACACTGGGACAGAACTGTAGTGAACACTCTGAGTTCCTCACACGGTCTGGTATGCTCTGTGAGAGCAGACTATGTTTCTAGTTGTTGGAGTAGTGGCACCATTAACCAGAATCAACTCTGTTAGGGTTTCAAAGAGATCCTGGAATAGAGACACTCCTTTAATAGGATTTTTTGAGGGACTGAAATTGATTATTTAACGAAAACATCCTTGAGGAATCCCTTGACATACACCCATTGATAGAAAGCCCAAGAAAGAGACAATAGAGAGTTTTGTCAAGGAAAACAGAAATCTCTTTACTTAAAACTCTTACTAGAGAACAAGGTGACCATTGCATGGGATTTTTTGTTTTCCTGTTTTTTGATGGTATATTCCTTTGCCAGTTTCAAGTATGGAGAAGACAATTTTGAGTCTTGGCCTTGGGAGTTTTAATGCGGAAGATGATCAATCCCCTAGGCTCCATGGGGTTTATATATCTAGCCAGGGGAGAAAAGAAAAGATTAGTAGAGTAGGTGCTTATGGTGTCAAGGTAACTCACCCCAGTTTCCCTTTGGGCTGACTCCCTCTGAACATTCTGACACCCTGCTGCTCTTCTCTAAATGTCCCCATCAACACCAGAAGAGCCCATACTGCTTTTGGCAAGGAGAGCTGTTTTTTGGGTGTGTGTGTGTGTGTGTGTGTGTGTGTGTGTGTGTGTGCGCGCATACATGCCCATATGCATGCTTATGTCCCAGTGTGGAGGCCAGGGTTAGCTGTCCAGTGTCTTCTATTGGTTCTTTGGCTTTTTTTTTTAAAAAAATAAATACAGGGCCTCACTGAATCTGGAACTGACTCAGCTTACATTGGCTGGCCAGCAAACCTCAAAGGCTCCTCCTGTCTGCCTCCTCAGTGCTGAGATTACACCTGTCTTTTTTTTTTACATGGTTGCTGGGGATCAAACTCAAGTCCTAAAGGTTGCCCCCACAACTATCTTCTCAGCCCTGATAACTTTTTTTTTTTTTTTTGGTTTTTTGAGACAGGGTTTCTCTGTGTAGCTTTGAAGCCTGTCCTGGAACTCGCTTGGTAAACCAGGCTGGCCTCGAACTCACAGAGATCTGCCTGGCTCTGCCTCCCAAGTGCTGGGATTAAAGGCGTGCGCCACCACCGCCCGGATTTTGAAAACTTATATTTTCTATGTGGCAGGAGATGCAGGGTGCAGAAATTATTATCGCTATCTATTCTCTCCAATATAACTTAATGGAAGATTCTTCTAGATCATTCCTGCAGACTCACCACTGTCTTCTTCCTCTCCTCCAAATGCCATCCTGGAATAGCCATAGGAAAAGGAATTTTCGAGATCAGTTGTTCCTCCAGCTAGGTTAAGGTGCGACAAAACCTTCGTCAAAGGAGCAGAAACAGATTTGCCTCTCTTCTTACTGTCCAAAGGTGCCTGAGGAGCTTGGTGAGCTGTCATAGAATCCTTTGAATTGTGTTTGCTGCTACCAGCAGTGGTCTTTGTGACAGGTGATTCGGTCATGTGACTAAAGTCTATAATTTTGTCACAAACCCACTCCTGATTGGTGGTGACACTTAGAGCAGATCGGATGGTGGGATTGGCTTCCCTTGTTTTTCTGGTTCTCACTGTTCGGGTAGGTGGTTTTTTGGTAGGCATCCTGGAATGAAGTATTGTAGTTAGAATCCTGGCTATTCCAAAACCATGAAAGAAGCTTTATCATTTAACCTCTGAGAAGTGCCTTGGATATAATAAACAAACTTTCCACATCCTAAAATGAAAAGGCTGGAAGGGACCATGTAGGTCACAGAACACACTGGCATTCAAATTGTATCTTAGACAGTGCTAAGGTACCCTGAAAATACCAGGGCACATGAGCAGCTGAGCATGCCCAAACCCAGGAACTGTGTGTGTGTGTGTGTGTGTGTGTGTGTGTGTGTGTGTGTGTGTGTGTGTGTGAGAGAGAGAGAGAGAGAGAGAGAGAGAGAGAGAGAGAGAATACGCATGCACGCTGAGGCTGCCAAAGGAAGATACTTGATGCTCTGCTCTATCACTTTCTACCTGAACCTGGAGCTAAAATGGCAGCTTGCAAGCCCTAGAGATCCTCCTGTCTCTAGCCCCCAATCCCATCACTGGGGTTATAGGTAGGCATGTGGCCACACCTGGCTTTTTTTGTGTGATGCTGGGATTTGAACTCTAGTCCTCATGCTTGAGCAACAAGTGCTCTTGCCTACTGAGCCATCTCTGCAGATCCCCGCTGCCGTTCTGAAAGTCAGTTAAGGACACCGATGGTAAGAAGCAGCTCGAGGGCCGGGCGGTGGTGGCGCACGCCTTTAATCCCAGCACTCGGGAGGCAGAGCCAGGCGGATCTCTGTGAGTTCGAGGCCAGCCTGGTCTACAGAGCGAGTTCCAGGAAAGGCACAAAACTACAGAGAAACCCTGTCTCGAAACACCAAAAAAAAAAAAAAAAAAAAAAAAAAAGAAGCAGCTCGAGAACTGGTGCAGGAGTTGAACGCGGTGCCCCTTTTCGACCAGAACCAGAACTTAGCCCCTTGGCAACCACTGCAGCGGGCCTCAGAGCTTTAGAATGTTTTAGACTATCATCTGGGCAGTGTTGCTTTTCAACAAACAATTCCTACTCCCCGACTTAACCTCTTTGCCCAGATGTGAAATGAGAATATGATTATCAATCTCTAAGTAACAGTGAAAATGAGAAGAGATAGTATTGTCACATCTTTGAATATCGAGTATCCACTCAATAAATGAAAGCCCATTCATTTACCATGCAAACACAAGTAATTTGGTGTCACATGAATCTGGGTTTGAATTTGGCAAATAAAGCCTAAAGCCTGTATGTGCCTCAGTTTGTTTGTCTGTAGAAGGTGGAGGTGCCAGACAGTGGTGGTGCACCCCAGCACTCGGGAGGCAGAGGCAGGCGGATCTCTGTGAGTTGGAGGCCAGCCTGGTCTACAGAGCAGGTTCCATGACAGGCTATACAGAGAAACCCTGCCCTGAAAAACCAAAAAGATGAGGGTGATGATCCTGACCCAGCAAGACTGCTGCGAGCACTATTTTGTTTGCATTAAGCAGGGTGCTTGACATGAAGTTTGGTATATGCCAACTAAGTCTTCAAGCAGTAATAAATATTGTCAGGATTCTAAGAATATCATTCATACTTCTCCCACTTATTTGGATAAATAAGGTGCTAAGTGACTCACTTAATGCCCCTTGCTTGAGTCGTAGAGTCCTTTGGGTCGTTTTGTTTGGCAGCTTTCGTGTTCCCATTAAAATGTATTTTCTTCTCCATATCAACCTTACCCGATCCCGCTTGCAAAAACACTAGCTTTTGGGGCCTTCTTTTGGCATTTTTGTGGTACTTTTTGTGCTTGGTTAATGTTTTCATTCCTGGAGGGGGAGAAGGGAATTAAAGCTGGAACTTCAACAACCAAGACAAGAGAAATCAAACCTCCGATCCTGCTGTGCTAGGATGGGTGTGTGTGTGTGTGTGTGTGTGTGTGTGTGTGTGTGCGCGCGCGCGTGTGTCTGTCCCTGCCTAAGGCAAGAAGGGCCAGGCAGGCAAGGCTCTGGGGCCCAGTCAAGCCTGAGCAGCCTCCATGTGACAGGCCAGCTGAGGGGCTGTCCAGCATGTGCACTAATTTCCCTGACTCTTAATTCACTGGTGGTGATGGGGAACGTTTCTGTAAGGAATCTCTTTGCTAGTAAAGGCTGACGGGTCAAAGCTCAGAATTATTCCTTGATTCCCTTGCCCTCAATCTGCCTTTGAGTCTGGTTTTTCTTCCAATGTTCTTACTGCCTTCAGCTCTCTTGACTCAAAGGCAGACCGAGGCTCTAGTCACTGTGTCCTGACTGCATTTTCACGACACTGCTTAAGCCCAATCGTCATTTTGGTAGTACCACTGTTTGCTTCTGTGTCTAACCATGAGGACCAAGCAAACCTGGTGGGAACATCTCAAGGGAGTCCTCATCACTTTCTGTTTCGCCTTCATCATCAGCTTCATCCTCTTCGGACAGGCAATTACCAGATATTTCTGAAGCCTGTGGTTAGCAGAGAAAGTCATGTTTTAGAATTTCAAAGAAGTAAGAAAAGACTAGACCAATGGCTAATTTTTGGCATTTTGAATAAAGGGTAAAAAAAAATCAGTCTCTTTAACTGGTCTTATGATGGGCAGGTGGCCTTAATTCTGTCATTCAGCTGGGCGACACTCGAGGATAAACTTTCCTTGAACAAGAGTGCAGGCAGAACCAACGGCCCTCAATTCACATTCATCCGCTATCAAAAGCTATTGGGATCCAGACTCTCGATAGCCTTCACCCAGAGTTCCACAAGAGAGGCTACCAGTGGCAGATTAATCTGAGGGGTTCACTAATAAATCTACACACACGAAACTATTCCATACACTTTATTCTTCTGAGTCAGTTCTCTCTCCACAGCTTCTATTCTGCTCTCATGCCTAGCTCCTTTCTTGCCAGATTCCTTTCTACATCTTTCTGTTGTTCCCTCTAAATGCTATCTTGATTCCTTCAACTCAGTTCTGCCCCATCTTGGTCTTTCTCATCTCGTTCTTACCCACCTAGTTCTTCCCCATCAGGCTCTTCCTCATCTCCCATCTTGTCCTCCTAGTTCTCCATCCAATTCTGCAACCTAGTCCCCCAAGTCTCTGAGGTTTATAGTCATATACCCATGTGATAGCAATGCTCTGGCTAAGGCAAGGTCACCAGGCTTGAATTCTCATGGGGCATAAAGGCAGAGAAGAGTTTTCCTCAGGCAGTGACTGTCAGGGTTTTACAGCCCTGGCTCGAAGCAATCCTCTGCTCAGAATGCTACTGAAGCCAGAGTGGGAAGAGTCAGCAAAGAGCAAGATGAACTCGGGAGCAGCTGCTGATGTAAAAGGTCTTGGGCCAATGAGTTGATGAGCTTTGAGGCGGTGACTCAAATGACTTCAGAAATGACATTTCTATCAGATACTTCTCCTGCTCCTTGATGGTGGGGATAACTATGACTAGTAAAAAGAGCAGTTTGTAAATGAATGTTAACTGGCTCAGAATGTAGAGAAAAAACAAGCCTTGAGTGCATGTGCTGTATTCAGAAGCCATGTTAGGAGAAGCAAATAGAAAACAGATGCAAAAAAAGCAGTCACTAGAAAGAGGGAAGGTCTAAGTTCATTTGCTGAAATGAAGAATTCGGGTTCACCAAAAGATATTAAAAGACAGGAACACACACCTCCAAAGGACTCCTACTTAGAGCAGGTAAAAACTCCCGTAAGTCAGTAAGGAAAGGCAGGTGACAACATAGGCATGTGATGGGAAAAACATGTCACCAAAGTGACGCCCAAGTGTTCAGTAAGTGCATAAAAAGTGCTTACATTACCAGAAGATGTTGATAAATTCAACATTAACACCAGCAGCTTCTCCCCAGCAGAAAACGACAATAAGACAAGGCACAGACTGGGAGAGGAGAGAGCTACAAATATAACAACAACAACGAAAGTAGGATCTAGAACCTTCAAGGAACTATCTAGAACACTAGGAAAAAGACAAACCAACCCCACCATTTTAGGCAAGAAGACCTAAGCAAGCATTCACGCAAGAGAATGTGAAAGCAAACTAGAGACAGAAAATCAAGCTCTGGGCTTTTAAGGACCAGGAAAACACAAATGGGACACCATACTTCATTACCACCAGACTGGTAAAAATGAAGAGATGCCAAGCGCAGGAAGCAAGAGGAATTCATACACACTCTGGTAGGAGTGGAGACTACCTTTGAGGCATTCACATCTGTCTTCCTTGTCCGCTTCATTATTTCTTCAACCCTCTATTCAAAGGGAAATAAAAATGAAAATGTAAAAGAGATTTTAAAAAATAGTGGCCCTGAAGCAGGTGATTACCCCATTTTATAGCAAGCAATGCCTGTAATTGTCCCCAAACCACAGACTTAACAAAAGTCTTGGGGCAGCAGCTGGGTTCCTCTTTTGTCCCTGATTTCAGCCATAAAATGCTGTGAATGGCAGTAATTGTTCTTCTATACAACACAAACACCCAAATGGCAATTCCGTGTTCCCATTTTCAAACAGACTAAACATATTATTGCAAAGCAATTAGAACTCTTAGACCATGGCGAGGCAAACATTAATGAAAACAATGCGCTTCAATGATGCTATGGTTCTAAGAGATCTTGTCCCTAAACCAACAGAAGACTGAGGAACGATGTTCTCTAGGGAGGGATAAGAATTCTATCCACTGCATAAGGTGAGGAGAGCTGTGGTTTGCTGGCTACCTCAGAGTGACAGAGACCTGGCAGTAGCCCAGCCTCAGCAGGGACTTCTACACGAACCACATGGAGTTGCATAAAATGAGGCCCTTACCTTACAAACACCGGCCTTTCTAACAGGCCTCCACTGCCCCCCACCCCCTTATGTAGTGCCATCTCCCAACCAGTCTAGAAGAAACTCTAACTTCCACTAACCTCTGTCAGCCTGGAGTCATCCTGCTAAAGGGAACGTTGGTCCTACAGGTTCGCTATATTGAGACATTGCTATAATGCCATCCATGAGGTACAAATACCACCAATAAGAGGGTAGCTTCCTATATAGAAGTCAGCACCTTTGGATGAGCAACCACAGTGGGCAGACAGCTGGGAATTAACACATACCTGATTGAGGATTTTCAGAAAAATGTTGCTAACTTGCACCCAGCTTTAACACAAAGCACATGCAACAGAGAATTACCTTTTTCCTTTCTAATCTTTCTTGCAAATTTTGTAGCATAATCTTTTCCTGTTCCTTCTTTCTTGTTTCAGCAATGTCTTGAGATTTCATCATGGTGTTGTTCCCTTTCTAGGAAAATTTGTGCCAAAATATCATTAATTTCAAAATATCTGGATGACAAGAAAGTTTTTAGCTGAAAAAAATTAAATTAAATTAAATAGTTGCAAGCCTGGTAGCCATTTATTATCCATTTTCAAAGCCTTGTTAAAAAGCACAGATTGAGGCTAATGTCTGAAATGCTTCAGACATCAAGGTTACACTTCTGAACATGTGCCTACCTTACTTTAAGTCAGTGGTTCTCAGCCTTCCTAATGCTGGGGTCCTTTACTATAGTTCCTCGTGTTGTGGCAACCTCCAACCATAAAATTATTTCCATTGCTACTTCATAACTGTAATTTTGCTAGTTGTGAATTATAATGTAAATATCTGTGTTTTCTGATGGTCTTAGGCAACCCCTGTGAAAGGATCCTTCGACTCCCAAATAGGTCATGACTCCCAGGTTGAGAACCACTGCTTTTAAAAGCATGTGTTTTTGAGTTATTAACACAGCAAGGAGTCAACTTTCTTACATTTCTTAAAAGCTATGGAAAAACTTGTAAAGGTTCCCTGCCAAGGAATACAAGTATACACAATCATTTAAGGAGATTACATGTAACCAGTTCTGATGAATGACATCCTAAAACTGGGAATATAGATTGGGCGATGGCAACGTGGGTTTTGGAGACTGCAATGTGAAAGTGCAGCCCCCCGAGAATGCTGTCTGCGCAGTGGCCTAGCCGGCTACTTGGCATCGCAACTGCACTTTCTAAGCAGGTTCTCTGGTACAGCAGCAGCGACAAGGTTACAAACCTGTAGCTGTCCTTTCTGCTCTTCCGGTGGCTCGAAATGTCTCATTGCCAGATCTTTTGCTTGCTGCTCATCTTTGCGAGGTGAAAATTCTGCTGGAACTTCATCCGCTCTCTCTGCCAGACCTTGCGATTTTTTAGCAACACTGAGAGTATTTAAATAACTTTAGTATTTTTCTTAGCTGCTAGCATATATAGTTTGCAGGAGTATGGAAGCATTTATGGTGAAATTGCTTGAGTATAGTAATACAATACATTTATGGAAGATTTACTATATTTTCTGGGCCTCTTACTATCCGAGTTATATGTCACCCTTTTTAAATGAGGCCTTCGGGCGTACCAAAGGATTTCTAACAATGACTACTTTACATACGTGCACATATGCGAGAGAGGAATGGTTGACCTTTAATTACGTTAGGTCTTATTTAAATGTGAACGCACCCAAGCTCATGCAATCTGGAGGAGGGTCTAACGGTGTGCCAGTATTTAGTGCTTTCAAATGCTAATTAGCTCTGTTTGCAGAAGACAAGGAATAATAATTTCCAAGTTATAAATCTCTTGCTGTTCAAAGTATCTCCTTCCTCTTTTTTCCAAGCAACTGTACTTTAAACACTACTTGGAAATAAAGTCAGTACTATAGTATCCCTTGTCCACAGTGGACAGGGGTTTACAAGACACAACACAAACTGGGTCTCAAGATGAAGTTACGAGAACATTTCAAGTTCAAGTCAACATAGCTGGACTTGAAATGTGTTGTCAGGGACAACCTTCTAGGACTAATTCATTGGCTAAATGGGACCCTGGTGACATAGAGATGAATCTCATTGTCTCTCTGTGTCTGTCTGCCCCCATCCATGTCCCTCTGCCTTTCCAGTGAAGGCAAACAGAAATATCATGCAGTCGTCTGGGTGCTGCTACTGAAATGGAATCCTGGAAATGACCTTGGTTTCTTTCTTTCTACATTGGCCTAGCACACCTTAATGGTGCTGAATGTACGGAGACTGAAAAGGATGTGGGGAGATATTATCACTCTGCTCAGCCAGTTATAACACCTTTCTAAGTGTTTTCTACTTTCTTTTTTAAATTAATACTTAATTTTTTTTATGTATATGGTGTTCTATCTGCATGTACACCTGTGTGCCAGAAGAGGACATCAGATTCCATTATAGATGGCTGTGAGCCACCATGTGGTTGCTGGGAATTGAACTCAGGACCTCTGGAAGAGCTGTCAATGCTCTTAACCACTGAGCCATCTCTCCAGCCCCGTGTTTTCTACTTTCTTCCTTTTTCTTTCCTTTCTTTCTTTTGTTCTTTTTTTTTTTTTTGATGGGGAGGGTTAAGACAGGGTTTTTCTGTGTAACAGCCCTGGCACTGTTAACACAGTGCTGTGCAACTGTCCTCGATCTCGCTCTGTAGACCAGGCTGGCCTCGAACTCAGAGAACTGCCTGCCTCTGCCTCCCGAGTGCTGGGATTAAAGGCGTGCGCCACTGCCGCCCAGCTTTTCTTCCTTTCTTTCCTTGACTACAAAGCAATGATTGACTTCTCACCAGAGAAAAAGTTAATTGCTGTTTTGAAACTTAGAATTTAAGGACAAAATTTCAAAGTGTGGACTCCCACCGAAGTTTAAGGCTAGAAAGGACGATTCTGTGATCACCTTTGCTTTGTCTCTTTCACTCCTCCACTCTCCTTGTTGCCTTGTTGTTCAAAAGCAGCATGGTGCATCTCTACGGAAACATTCATGGCCGATTCACTGCTTGGCATACTTCTATTGCCAAATTCTAGTTTAAAGAAACATGTGAACAGTTGGTTAGGGAACCTATTTCTTCTCAACCCCTCGAAGAAATAAATGAGACTCCCCCAAACATTAAAAAAAAATGAGCACAGACATGCTAATTAGGGAAATTGTTCAAAACGCCATCTCCTCCCTAGCAAAAGAATTAGCATGTTGTCTCTTTCAAACAAGTGCATGTTCAAATACTCAAAATGCAACGATGTGTTTCTACTTCAGCTTACCTATTTAGAGAGGTAAATCAAGGACTCTATGAGGAAAGATTCAAATATGCTGAAGCCAAACTTATGCCTGATCAAATGAAGAGTAAAAATCTTAAATACTCAACCAATCAAATATCTGATATACGTGTGGAATTTGTGTATCATTTTTATTGCCATTTACCTGAACTCTGACAACTCTATATACAAGTGGTTATCATACAGTGGTAGCTATAAGTAACAAAAGAAGCCAAGACTATCATTAAAATAAGGTATATTTTACATCTATCTATCTATCTATCTATCTATCTATCTATCTATCTATCTATCTATCTGTCTCTGTCTTTGTTTCTCTCTCTCTCTCTCTCTCTCTCTCTCTCTCATGTGTGTGTGCGTGTGTGTGTGTGTGTGTGTGTGTGTGTGTGTGTGTGTGTGTGTGTACATATATATACATTCTCACTATTTACTGTCCTGGAACTCACTCTGTAGACCAGGCCAGCCTTGAACTCACAGAGTTTTGCTTCTGCCTCCCAAGTGCTGGGATTAAAGGCATGCACCACCATGCCTGTCTCAATATGGAGGCATATTATAATATTAAGTTTATATAACTATTGTTGTTTTAGATAAATTATGTAGAAATGAAAATATCTAGACACTAAGAACGACTCATAATAAAAAGATCATTTGATATAGAGAATTCATTGGAATTTCTTATAAAAGCTGAATTTCCAGTACATTTGAGACCAAGTAGCATTGACATGTGTAAAAATGCATGTTACAGGCAAAGGAACAGTGTGAGCATGCATACAGCACAAATCAGGACATGCCACATGCCATATATGTATATGGAAACTGGTCTGTATCTGATGAAAACTTATTTAACCACATGTATGTAAACTCTTGAAGAACAAGCTAATATCCGAGCTGGAATGGCCCACAAGGATCATAGACCAACCCTCTCATCCAACTTATGCTTCTAACAATGGTTCTAAAAATGAAATTTCCAAACAGAGGGGTGAGTAAGCAGAGAAGTATTCCACTGGACCACTGCTTGGTTAATTATCTTTATCTAAAAGGAAGACCGCTCCCCAAAGTCCTGTTACTTACAGAATAAAATTGTGATGATCCTCAAGTACTTCAAGATTTTCTGTGTTGCTAAAATTAATTTCTTAGGGAAAGAATTTACCTGTGTTGATCATACACTTTTGGACGATTTCTTTTTTCTTTGTTATCATACTTAATGCATTTGGCACATACAGGATATTCTGAACTGGGGTTACTTTATACAATAGAGAAGTCTTCGCTGATAGTCTTGATGAGACTGGTAGAGGAGATGGAGGTCGGATCTTTTGATTCTGCCTGCTGAGAAAAAGTAACAATTGTGTGCTGATTACTTTTCAGTATATAATTATAAGAAATGCAATGCATTGATACTATAAGGTAATTATAAACTAGAAATTTTTGTAACGAAGAAATAAAGCTACTTCACTTTTCCCATTTGCCATTGCTTACCTTGCATTCTATATTATTTCATTTAGGAAACACTGATATGACATTCGTTCCAGTAAAATGCCTTTCAGAAATAACTGCAAATAGGTTACTTACACAGCCTTCATGGGAGAAGGTGGGCGCCACCCAAGTGCAGGGGATGATGGCCATCTGTAACATGGTATATGGGATGGTAGTTGTTTCTTGGTGGTAAGGTTTATGTTTCTTTTGCCAACTTCTGGGTTCTGAATATACCAATTCAATAAGATAAAAAAAATTAATAGCAATTATTATACTATACCTATCTTTTCATAAGAAAATATTCTGAATAAAACAGTCATAGTCCCTGAAACCTCTAATTTTCTTTTAATTCATGAAAATTAGGTATTTTTTCTAGGCTATGAAGTTACACAATGTAAGTATATCACAGAAATAGTTTTAAAATCTTCTACTTCAAAATCTAATTCCATTTCTAGATCTCACTGGATGGTCCAGAATACTCCTGAAAAACCTTTTTTCCTCCAAGTATTTCACATTAACTGCTTTACCAATTTCTAGAGTCTCTCCTTTGAGCCTTGGGAGGTGTTTTCATGTCATGAGAGGCATTTCTCCACTTGCCTGAGGTGAAACTTCCATCATCACCTCAAGGAGTGCTCCCACACTCACCGTGCCTAGGCCGTGCTCCCACACTCACCTTGGGTGGTGATGCTTCAACATTCATCCTAGGCCGTGCTTCCATACTTGTCTCAAGGTTTAATTCCCCGCTGTTCTTAGGAGATGTTTCTAGATTTCCTTCTGAGGCCACAGCACTTACTGAGTCCGTACTTAATTCTGGTGAGGTATCTACGCTTGCCTCAGGTGAGGCATCCATGCTGACAACTGGAGATATTTCCACACTCACAAAGGAGGATGATCCCGTACTCAGGACAGGGGATGAATCCTCACTCACGACGGGGGATGGTTCAACACTTGAGGAAGCATCCACATCCACTGTGGGTAATTCTTCACCATTTGATTCTGGGTGCCTTGTTGAGTTCACATCGGTGAGTACTTCGTTATTCACCTTGGGGGAAACGTCCAGCTTAACTTCAGAGATGTCCTCCATGTTCTGGAATGCTATTTCCAAATTAGCCTTAGATGGTCCTTCCAAGTTTGCCTGAGAGGGTACTTTCATGTTCATCTTGGGTAGAGTTTCTGCATTCACCTTTGCTAGTCTTTCCACATCTTCCTTGAGAGGTGTTTCTACTTTCTTTGTGGGTGTTATTTCTAATTTTGCTGGAACTGGCATTTTCACTGATGATTTACAGAACATTGTGGAAGACTTTAGCTCATCACTGGTAAACATTGGTACAGTCACATAGCGGAAAACGTATTTGGTCATTCCTATAAGTGAATGAGAAAAGAGTAAAATTCCATATAAAGGTAGTAATCTGACTAGCTAAAAACACTCCATGTGCACAGTATGAGAACAGAAGGGCTGTTTAATAGGAAGTACAGGAATTTCACACACTGTAGGAACTGCTCAGTGAAATGTACCATTAACAGAGCAGAACCATCAGAAATTTAGTATTTCAGAAGCAACATCAACAACAGAGGTCCTGTAATCACAGTGCTTCACTACAAATGAAAATAAACTGGCCCTGTAAAACAGATACTTGCAGCAAAACATTGTATTTCAAAATATCAACCACATTTTTAAATGATTTATTTATTTTTATTGTATGTGTATGAGTGTTTGCCTGCTTGCCTGGTGCCCTCAGAGGCCAGAAGAGGAAGTTGGATCCACTAGAACTGGATTTGCAGACAGTTGTGAGCTGCCATGTGGATGCTGGGAACATAACCCGGGGCCTCTGGAAGAGCAGCAAGTGTTCTTAACTGTTGAGCCAGGCCTAGAGAGCTCAGTTACCATTATAGTGATTATACAAAATACTCCATACTTGATTGTTTTATAACAGAATTAACAGGCCAGGTGGTGGTGGCTCACGCCTTTAATCCCAGCACTTGGGAGGCAGAACTAGGCCGATCTCTGTGAGTTTGAGGCCAGCCTGGTCTACAGAGCGAGATCCAGGACAGGCACCAAAACACCACAGAGAACCCTGTCTGGAAAAACAAAAAAACAAACAAAAAAGAAAAAAAAGAATTAACAAAGAATATTTTCTTATTCATTCTAAAAACTGCATTAAAACCAGACAAGAGTGCAGATGAAAACATTCGTTTTGAGGTTTCACATACAAATAAATGGAAGAGTGATCACTAATAATAAAACTGTCTTATGACTGTACTAAACTGTCAGAGATATTTAAAGATAAAGGCCACCGCATAACACAATAATTCCAAGGAAGGAAGCAATGCAGGATATATCAGAACTCCTCCATGTATAGTGGAACTCACACATACAGAAAAAGATGGCTCCTTACAAATTCATTTTTTCAGGGATTCGCACAGATAAAGACCTCTGACAGACATAATGGCCATGTCCACTGACAAAAATTCACTGCCAAATGATACCATTGAACAAAATGCTCTTGTTAAAGGTAATTTTTTGCCCGGACGGTGGTGGTGCACTCCTTTAATCCCAGTACTCGGGAGGCAGAGGCAGGCGGATCTCTGTGAGTTCGAGGCCAGCCTGGGCTGCATAGCAAGTTCCAGGACAGGCTCCAAAGCTACACAGAGAAACCCTGTCTCAGAAAAAAAAAGTGATCTTTTGGTCAATATTTTGCTCCAATAATCCTTTATATGTATAAAGATCACTAGCAGAAATTGCATTTCTTCCCAAAGGATTTAACCTGAATCAGTTAAGGAAAGTCTTCTGTAGTAGATCATTATGTATACTGGTTAGTTTTTATTGTCAACTTGACACAAACTGGAGACACCTTGGAAGATGGACCTTCAGTTGAATAACTGACTCCATCAGATTGGCCTCTGAGCACGTCTGTGGGGCATTTTCTTGATTGCTGATTGATATATTGTCTGATCTCCATAAGAAATGTATCTGAGAGCTAGGCGGTGGTGGCGCACGCCTTTAATCCCAGCACTCGAGAGGCAGAGGCAGGCGGATCTCTATGAGTTCAAGGCCAGCCTGGTCTACACAGAGAAACCCTGTTTCGAAAAACCAAAAAGAAATGTATGTGAGCAAGGTTGGGGGATTGAGCCCAGAAACAGTATTCCTTTGTGGTTTGTGCTCCAAGCTCTAGCCTGAGTTCCTGCCTTGGCTTCCCTCAGTGATGGGATACAAACTATAAGTCAAACAACCCTTTCTTCCCTAGGATGCTTTTGCTTAGTGTCTTAGCATAGCAACAAAGAAGCAAACTAACACAATATGAAACAATACAAGAGGAACATGGAAGGGAAATTGTAGACCGAGAAAAGCTGTCAGAAAGAAATCACTTTAAAGCTGGGTGGTGGTGGTGTACTCGGGAGGCAGAGGCAGGCAGATCTCTGTGACTGCCAGGACAGCCAGGACTACACAGAAACCCAGTCTCAAAAAAAAAAAAAGGGGCGGGGGAGAGAAATCACTTTAAGACTTTACGGCTAGGTATAACAGCTGATGCCTGGAACGTCAGTTCTCAAAAGGCTGAGACAGTAGGATTGCTATAAGGTTAAGGCCTTTCTGGAATACGCCAGGACTACAATGTGAGATCTATAAAATAAGAGGCATTGGGGAGGCAGGGGCGGGGGGGGGGGGGACGGGATGGGACGGGACGGGACTTTGAGATGGCTCAGTGGGTAAAGACACTTGACACTAAGCCTAAAGACTTGAGTTCAGTCCCTGGAACCCACATGGTAAAGTCGACTCCCACAAATTGTCCTCTGACCTTCACACAAACATTGTAGCTTGTGTGCACATGTATATGTACAGATATACAATCAATCAATAAATATAAAAATAAAAACTTACTTTAAAGAAATATTTCAATAATAATTATGATTTTTGTGTAAAATCAGTAGTAAGAACAGAAAAGTTGGGGGCTGGAGAGATGGCCCAGAGGTTAAGAGCACTGGCTGCTCTTCCAGAGGTTCTGAGTTCAATTCTCAGCAACTACATGGTGGCTCATGACCCTCTGTAGTGAGATCTGATGCCCCCTTCTGGTGTGCAGGTGCACATGCAGATAGAGCACTTATATACAAGAAATAAATAAATAAAACTTAAAAAAGAAAGAAAGAAAAGAACAGAAAGGCGGTCTAGAGAGATGGCTCTGCAGTTTAAGAGCACTGACTGACTGCTCTTTTCAGAGGACCCGGGTTCAATTCCCAGCACCCACATGGCAGTTAACAACTGTCTGTAACTCTAAGATCTGACATCCTCACACAGGCAAAACACCAGTGCACATAAAATAAAAATAAATTTTAAAAAGGCAACAGATTAAAGCTTTGCTTAAAATAGGGCCAATCTTTATAATTTCCAAATGAAAATTCATAATGTTTGAAATGAATCAAAAAAGTAGTCCTTCAGTACAAATCCAATTATAATAAAATTAATTTATTTCTTCAGCTTTACTCTAGACTCTATCATATGCCAGGAATTATGTACCTTATGGAAAGATAAAATTTTTTTCTTACCATAGTACATTCTTTTAGTTCAAGAAGGGATAGTTTGGCTTGCAGTTTCTTTAATGACTTTTTAAGTTTCTTTCGAGACTAGAGGATAATTGCATCATTTCCTCCTTTCCTTTCTTCCCTCCAAACCTTCCCATGTCCCCCCTCCCTTCCTCACTCTTTCAGATCCATGACCTCTCTTTTCATTAGTTGTTGGTTCATGCACATAAACCTATGTTCCTAAATATAATCTGCTCAGTTTGTATAATGATACTCATATGTCTGTTTTCTTGAATGACTTCTTAAGCAACATAAAACTGAGCTAAACACATTTCTTTCCAGCAGTACTTGAGATCTATACTTTACTCACCAGGCGTGTTGTCCATGTGTTCCATAGCAACATTGGGATGTAATTGGTTGTCTTTTCTATTCAGAGAGGAACTTCGTTTATTCTCTGTTTTTCCTAAACATCAAATGCAAAGGAATGTTACTTTCCTAGAGACTAAGATTTCAAGAGTGACTCACTCATTTTATTAAAGTTTAAAATTCTTTTCAACTCTTGCTTGTAAGAATTTATTTAATTTCAAATATTATGTAGTTTACAACCCCAAACTTAAAAAATTTACTCATTATTATAGTTGAGGTGAAAATAAAGTAACTTAGAAAATTATGACGATCATTAGCCAGGCGGTGGTGGCACACGCCTTTAATCCCAGCACTCAGGAGGCAGGAGGATCTCTGTGAGTTCGAAGCCAGCTGGTCTACAGAGTGAGTTCCAGGAAAGCTAGGGCTATTACATGGAGGAACCCTGTCTCAAAAACTAAACAAAACGAAAATGATAAAAATTAATAGGGAAAATGCCCACTATTGACACCACCCATCTTCCTAAATTATGAATATGTAATCTTTAATTTTAGACACAATCCACAGTGGTTTCTAAGTATAATGGACAATTTAATTATAACTATTTTTTTTTCCCCGAGACAGGGTTTCTCTGTGTAGCTTTGCGCCTTTCCTGGAACTCACTTGGTAGCCCAGGCTGGCCTTGAACTCAGAGATCAGCCTGGTTCTGCCTCCCAGTACTGGGATTAAAGGCATGCACCACCACCGCCCGGCAATTGTAACTATTTTTAAACCAAAACCATTTATATTTGCTATAGATGTCACAAGGTAACAAAACTGTTTATAAGAGAAAACAATTGGCTTTGTGTAAGTACTTCTCATTTTATCTGAAATATTCTAGCTCAGGATACTGAGGGGTAGCCATTTAAACAAGAATTCCTTTTCTTTAAGACTTGTAAAATAAAGTACACATTAACACTATTGTGCCACATTAACACATGAAAGTTCCTTGAATTGATAATGTGATGAGCATTGCTCCAGAGTTGTAAGCCAATCAGTCATGTGACTAAGTCATGTACTCTTTTCATTGACATACTTCAAGAAATAATAATCAGCCCCTGCCTTGCTAGTGATGGACTTATGAGTGCATACTAAGAGACTTGGATTATTTTTAAGTGGGTTCTGGAGAGCAAAGTCGGTTCTTACAGTTTGCAAGGCTGACTGACCTATTTCTCCAGCCTTGGCCTGAGTTCATTACCAAAATGAGCAAACAACAAACAAACAAACAAACAAAAACCAACAAGGACTGGCTAAGCTGACTTTGTATTTGTCATTTTGGTGTTGATTGTAAATTTAGGACATAAGGAGTAGAACATGTTGCAGATACAGCCATCTACCAATAACTGACAGTTAAAAATGGACATTAATGAACTTAAATTTAACAACTATTGCCAGGTGGTGGTGGCGCACGCCTTTAATCCCAGCACTCGGGAGAGAGAGGCAGGCGGATCTCTGAGTTGGAGGCCAGCCTGGTCTACTGGACAGTCAGGGCTACACAGAGAAACCCTGCCTGGAAACCCCGCCTCCCCCAAATGAACAACTAACTATATCACTTACCAGATTTTTCAATGTTGGTCGCACCGCCCTCCCACGACCACCTTTTCTGTCGTTGGTCAACACGATTGCATCGCTCCATTGTACGAGACACAACAGCCTTGAATTTTTCCTGTTTAAAAAAAATGCCAGACCGTTTTATGTGGCTATTATATTACCACTAATTATTGTTTCTAAAACTAATCCCATCACTGCATTTCTTTTTCAAGTAGGTGAAAGTCTAAAAGAATTGGAGACAAGTTTTAATTTCAGCAACGAATACCAGTGCTATCCCTGAATTATTAGTTTTTTATTTTGTGGATGCTACATTAAGAAATTGGCCATGCTTCCCTTTTCGTTTTTATCATTAGGAAACTCAGAGCCAGGCTTCTGCAGCCAATGTACAAAGACCGAGTGGTGTACTTTTAGGCATGTTAATCATACCCATACTTCACTGTTTGACCACCTCGACTTTCACTTCCGCTGGCTGCCCTTAGTCATGTATTTTACCACATAATATAGTTTATTTTGTAGTTACCTTTTTTGGTATATGGAAAGAAACAGGAAAAGGTGACATGCCTATGTCAAATCTATGCCAAAGTTATTTATCTATGATGCTCATATCTATAAGAGTTTAAATCCTGGTGCTCAGTAAGAATTTTTTTAAGGCAAGTAGTGTGTTTATCTTGACCTGAGCTGCCACCTGAACTGGTCAGGATAAGAGCCACACAAATCACATGCCACATTGTGGTAGATTAAGCACAAGTTTGGGAATGAGTTCTTTGCTTGGAGATTTTTCATTCCTGTACTATAATATACTATGGACTGTGTTCCAGCCAGCAAATCAACTTTAGGGCCAGAGGTTTCCTATTATTTCCCAGCAGCAACTGTTACAGAAGAACATCTTTACAGTGCCTGCCCTGTCCCTCTTAGGTCAAAGAGAAATGTGTTAGCCTCCTTACAATGAATGTCCATGTACCAGGCTGTGGCCAGGCCTCACCCCACCAGCTCTTTGGAGTGGATGCCCTTTGCCTTTTCTCCTGCCATGTCTCTGGTTCCCTTTCTGTCTACACGGATATTTGCTTCTGTTCCGTTCTGTGTTTTCTCTCTCAACTTTCTCTTTTACTAAGATGGACTGTCTCTGTCCACCAGGAACCCTCGCTCACTTGGTATTGTTCCTATTTTATCTTTGTTGATTCTCAAAACTGTTTTTAATGATTCCTACTCTCTCAGGGAGTCACAAGATTAGGTAAGTTGGAGAAATCAGCCTGCCAGATGGGACCTGTGAGAGAGGTGGGGTGGTAGGTTTGGGGTCTTTATGCAGCTGGAAGAGAACAGTTTTGAGCTAACCCCAAGCCAAGGTACGCTGTGAATTGCATTCTAAAGGCCAACAGAGTTCAGTTTCTGGACCTCCACATCTCTTCTTTCCTCCCTGAAATTACTGTTGAAGCCCTTCGACTGAGGGTAAGGAAAACGGGGAAAAAAAATAGGAAAAACTGAGGCTGTTCCCTTGCTCTCTCCAGGGCCAGTAAATGCAGACAAGGCTAAGCAGGAGTTCAGCTGCACACAATGGCCACTGAACGGGCAGACTCGGACGTTGCCTACTTTGTCTTCCGCCTGCTTCTGTTTTCTTTTTTCTTCTGCAGATACTCGGCGGCGTTCGTCCTTTTCCTTCTGTTCTCTCAGTTTGCGGTGTCTTTCTTCCAATTGTTTTTCATACTGTACCTTAGCCTTTTGTTCTTTCTCAAGCAGTTGTTTCTCCTTGTTGGCTGAAATAGTCCAGGTACATTTTCGTGGTGTTAAAGCCAAGAAAAGTTTTCAACATTAAGCACAAAGAAGGAAAAATGTCACTCTATCTCATTATCATTCTTAGACAACATAGCCTGGTCCAGTAAATAACATGGACAGTTCGTGTGTGTAAATATATATATATGGCCACTAAAGAACCACTTTTCACAAGGTGTTCACTGTACTATGAAGAACTGGCATTTCTAAGACAGATGACTCTTGGCCTATCCAAACTAAAATTCTAAAGCAGGAAGAAATGTTTTCTTCCATGCGGTATTTTGCTAGTTGGAGCTAAGATCAAACTATATCAGAAAAACATAAATTAAAGAACACACGGGCTGAATCTCTATTTTGCTTCATTCTACTCTGAAACTTCTTTCCAAGTCCTCATCTCTCCGGATGCTATTAAAGAAATGAGTGCTACAGGAATAGACTCAGAAGTCGACCCAAGCTGGAAGGGCATGCTTTACTAGATTCAGGTTTTCCCTGACTACAACCAGAGGATCTTATCTGTGCAATTATAAAATATTCTCCCTAACATTACCACTGCCACGAAGATCATTTATAGCATTCCATTTGCATAAATTTGAGCGTTTATTCTGTGAGTTGATTTAGATCAAAGAAATACATATAGTTACAAAGCATGCTCCCAAGTTGTAGGAAGTCTTCATTTATACCAAGTCCCATTTTCACTGAAATCCCATCCTGCTTGTTTCCACCACTGTTGAAGGAAATTCCAGACCTCAGTTTTCAGATAACTGAAGCTACTCCTTCAAAAATTAAATAATCTGGTCACAGGTTCTTCATGGGCCTTTGGATTGGTAAATGGACTTAATTTCATATAATATTTTACATAAAATTACAATATATCATATAAACAGATTAAGCAAAGTGATTAAAACCAAGTCAGAAATATATAACATATACATAAAGGGAAATGTCTAACATACATACCCTCTTGCTGACGTTTCCTCTCTTCTCTGCGTTCTTTGGCTAATTGCTGTTTGATATCATTTTTAAGGACAGAACCATCTAAAACTACACAAAAAATAATTACCCATTAGTATTATATTAATTCTATGTATTTATTATTTATGTTTTCTGATACAAAGTTTCTCTATGTAACAGTCCTATAGATCAGGCTGGCCTCGAACTCACAGATATATGCCCCCCTCTGCCTCCCAAGTGCTGGGATTAAAGGTGTGTGCCACCACCTGACTTATGATATCAAATTTGAAAGCTACAGCACTGATATATTGAGACATTATTGAAAGCATACCAGGTGTACATGACGATCTCTTAGTAGTAACTGCAGAAGAATTAATACCACGTTTACGTCGCCGTTCTTCGGCTAGCTCTTGAGCCATGGCAGCTAGAACACAGAGAAATAAGGAAAAGGCATTAGGTATTAATGGTTAGTACAAGGACAGCAACCCACAACCATTTGTCATTGATAGTAAAAGGTCAGATCATTTCTGTGAAGTAAAAACATTACTGCTTAATGGGTTAAGTACTTATGATGTTCAACAACACTTTAATAAAAGATTGGGCCGGGAGGTGGTGGCGCACGCCTTTAATCCCAGCACTCGGGAGGCAGAGGCAGGCAGATGAATCTCTGAGTTCGAGTCCAGCCTGGTCTACAGAGCAAGATCTAGGACAGGCACCAAGCTACACAGAGAAACCCTGTCTCAAAAAACCATAAATAATTAAATAATAAAAAATAAAAGACTGGAAAGTGTGTGGTATTTGTGGCCATGAAGACAGTTCCAGTTGTGGATGGCAGGGAAGCACAAGAGCAGGTAGATGAGGAAGAAGGTCAGTGATGACCAGCTGTTTAAAAGATGTCAGACAAAATGCTACACCATTTTTTTAAGAGTTTGCAAGAAATTAAGGGGAAAACGTTTTGTCAAAATAAATTAAGAATTTGGGCTGGAGAGGTGACTCCGTGGTTCTGAGCACTCACTGCTCTAGCAGAGGACTCAGGTTCAGTTTTCAGCACGTATTTGGCATCTGACTTGTCTTAAACTCACAGTTCCAGGGGCCCTGATGCCCTCTTCTGGCCTTTACAGGCACTGCATGCCAATAGTGTATTTACATACACTAGGCAAAACATTCACACACAAAATCAAAATCTTTTAAAAATTAAGAATGTATAGACTCAAATATAGAAGCAATGCACTAACAATTAGATACTCAGGGGTTGAGTCAAATATTATAAGACATTTATAAATTCCCCACATCAGGTACTTTCTAGGCTATTTGTGTACTAGTTACCCAAGTGGCTTTCAAAACAAGACTGAACCTACCTTATGGGAGTGGGACTCAAGCACTTGGAACTGTTTACAAAGTAGCCCTTTTCCTTCTTCCTTCCTTCCTTCCTTCCTTCCTTGCTTCCTTCCTTCCTTCCTGTGGTGGTTGAGATTGAACTCCGGGCCTCTAATATGCTAAGCAATGCACCCTTCCCCCATGAAGCCACACCTGCATGCCCCCTAAGGCTCTATTCTAATGCACTGTGAAGATGCGAGGACCGCCAATGTTAAGGTTTAAAACATGTAAGGCAAATACATATAAATTATACCAGATACACGTGCCTTCTGTCAACATGCAGACAAGTGGTCAGTAAACATCAGTAAGGTGATATGTAAATTGAGGGAAAGAAAGAAAAAATATAATGTACATTAGACAGATTCTAGAGGATTCCTGAACCTTGCATTCCATGGATGATTGCATCTAAAATTCCCCACAATCCTGGACAAGGGCCTGGATGGAGAACATTGAAAATTGTTTTTTGGGTTTTTTGCTTGTTTGTTTGTTTGTTTTTCCTGACTCTTCAAGGCAGGGTTTCTGTGTTCCTGTGTATAGCCTTGGTTGTCCTGGAACTTGCTCTGTAGATCAGGCTGGCCTTGAATTCGCAGAGATGCGCCTGCCTCTACCCGCCAAATTCTGGGATTGAAGGCGTCCACCACCACTGCCAGGCTTAGTTTTTACCTTTGTGCAAAAGCACAGCAAATATGCTCCAGGTCATACCTCAAGTTTGGTTATTAACTATTAAGAGATTCATAACAGTTCAAAATAGACAGCTCAAATAATTAAGGTGCTAGAGGGATTGCCCCAGTGCTCACAGAACGAATGGTTTCTGATGTTGGCTGCATTGGAGAAAAGCGACCTGGGACTCATTTTAAGAAGTAACCTTGAAAATGACCCTGAGATTGCTACCATAGGATCATAATTTCAAAAAAGAAAAAGGATTTGTTTGTAAGCCCTAGAGACCTAACAGCTCAGATAAACTATAACCTAGTTAAACTTAAAGATTAGATTCTTCTCTGCTTTACTTATAATTCAACTGCTATTATTTTTGTGAACACATTATTTCTGAGTAGCATACTAGCACAAATTCTTTTTAATCTGTTCTCTAAAGAAGAAAACGTTTTTAAAACTTTCTTTGGTCTGCAACAATTGATTCCAGAAGAAATGGCTACTAAATGCTTACAGATAAAGGCTGGTGAGAAGCTGCTGTAATCTTCATGCCCAGCAGCTACAATGGTTAAGAGTACATTTCCTCCAGAGAGCTGGGAGGCAGAGCCAGGTGGATCACTGTGAGTTCGAGGCCAGCCTGGGCTACAGAGTGAGTTCCAGGAAAGGCGCAAAGCTACACAGAGAAACCCTGTCTCGAAAAAAAAAAAAACAAGAAACAAACCAAAAAAAAAAAAAAAAAAAGAAAAGAAAAGAAAAGGAAAAAAAAGAGCACATTTCCAAGCAGACTGTCCCATTCTAAATATTAACACAAATACCAGGCTGTCCAATACAGCACACAGTCAAGCTGTGGAAGCTGCCCAGGATTTCTGAGTCTGGGATTCTGGCTGCTAGACTAACTTTAAGGTTTCTCCAGCTCTAAGACGCTGATAATCTGGCTCTCAGCCTCAGTACCTTTGCCTGCATTTTTTTTTTATAGGACCCTGTCTTTGAGTAAGCTGTACTCAACTGAGAAACCATGTGTGGATTTAAACAAACAAGAAGGGAAAAGTGACAAGTTAGTTACAAAGTTTATATGCTCATCTGGTTGAACAGTTTTAATTTAAAACAATTGTGTAGAAAATATGAAATGTGTTCTGATAAAAATAAGTGTAGTTCTTCAGTATATAGTATTAGCCTACTACAATGCGTAGAAAACCCATTAAGTGCATGTATGTTCATCTAATGTGTGTTAATACATACATAAATACATTTATAAAATGTATGTATGTAAATGGCAATGTGCACCCCACAGAGGTTGTTTAGGACACCCTTTTAATTCATGCAGTCAAGATTCCAGCAGGTGATGAAATTGACCTTTTAGCAAAAACATTTCACTTGACTTTACTCCTTTACTCCTACAGAAAATGCTGGGCAGTTCAACTGGTGCGCTATGCAAATCCAACATGTGGTGTTTTCAACCTAATGTACAAGAGGCAGCTAGGATGTAAACAACGGATCAGGATTAAATCCCCCCTCTTTTGCATGGCTTAAAGCTTTTTCAGTTTGAAGTGCTGTAAATGCAAACAACTGCCTCATAATTTTAGCTATTTTCTAACATTTAATAAACAAATAATGTTAGGGGGCATCAGACCACAGCTCCTTCAATATATTGGAATACATGCTAGCTAATTTCCATTACTTTAAACTAATACCAGGAAGCTATAAATGTCAATAAACAATATAGCAATTGATTGCAAACTCTCGAGTCTACAATAAACTAGAGGCTCAAGGAATATTATTTTGCCCTTATGGAATGGTAAAAGCGTACTTGCTTCTGACACTTTTTGGAGAGTTGATTCAAAGTGTTCTTCAGTAACATGGTCTTCGAATCTTAGCCAATCTAAATTAATTTTTTAATTACAATTTAAAACTCCCTAAGGATTTCAATACCAATAAAAATCATTTTATTCACAGGCATATCTGAGGAAACTAGACTGTTAGCAAGCCGAAAGCAACCAGCAAGAAATACTACCTCCTCACACAATTTCCTGAATTAAGCAGGTGCGGCCAAAATTGGTAAGAGTAACACACCCCGCCAGTTTTTTATTTCTCCCCTACACGGGAAAAGTTTTGATTATAGGACCTGTTGAAGAGAAAGCATTGCTAGGTGTAGATTCGCATTCTGTTCAGCCTAGGGACAGTCACGTGCTATTGCAGGGCAACTTTGCAGAGAATCAAGTCCCTTCCCAACTTCCTAAGCCCTAAGTCCCAGTTCCCTCCTCCCTTGACCTTGACATGGAAAGTACCAACATCCTGGGATACTGGGAAACCCCAAACTTCCTGATCCTGGCAGGGCCACCCCGACTGCAGCTATGCCCAGCACGCACCAGCGCCCACACATCCCTGCGTGTTCCTGCAATTGCGCGGGTGTCACTGGTCTCTGATGGCAGGCAGGGCTGAAGCCCGGGTTCGATGGCACCCGTCACGCAGGAGCCTTTGGGCCGTTGACAGCACTGACCAACCGTTTCTCTCCTATGTCCCGGGCCTCCGGTCTTTCTTGTACCATCCCAGGGTGTTCAGGGAGATGAGGGGACCACAGACCAGATAGGACGAGGGAACTGCCCACAGAAAAGTTGCCCAGCCACGCCACTCTGCTGGTCCCTGGGGCTACAGTAACCGCACTGCCCCACGAGGGCCCCTATCCCCCTGAGGGGTTCCCAGCCCACTCACCCAAGCGTTCGCGTAGACTCCTCAAAGATGTGTTGCCACTGATACCCGCAAAAGCGTGGTCGGCCATCTTCAGAGCGGAGTTGAGAACCACTGGTGGTTCTTGGGCGGCAAGGCGCAGGCGCCGCCTCTGCCTCTGCCGGGGCCCTCGCTGGGACCCCGGGGGGCGGGGCGGGGCGGGGCTCGGGGAGTCCCCGCACTGCCCTGAGACCCTCAATCTTGGTAGCATTAGCACTCACATGCTGGGTCGCTACATCGACTGACTGGCCAGCGACTAACTTTGAAGAAACCGTTTCTTATATTCGAGGCTCTATAGTGATGCGTTCTGGACACCAGCCAATCAGCTGCCTACTTAGCCATTGAACATTCCTTTCCTTTTATCACCTCTACCTAGGAATGTTATAACATTCCATATTTCCCCATCCTTAAGTTCATTTGGATCATTTAAAGATAATTTGCCAAGCATCTTCCTGTACTATGAGTTTACTACCTTTGAACACTACAAGAAAAGCCCAGTTTTGGGGGGAGAGGGGGTAATATAATGTGCCACCTCTCTTAACTAATGTATATGCTGACACATGGTTGTAGGAAGACAGGTTATGATTGAGGTAGTGGGTAAGGTGCAAGGGTCTATAGGATAAGCACTTTGATGAGCTCACTGAGTCTTCAAACACTGTAGGAGTTATAAACTAAAGAGGGTAATAGTGGGTACCCGTATTTTACTTTGTAACATGACACTTATCACTTACAGTAATACAAAAACTTATTGATCCCCCTACTATCCTATGACGTATGTACCACTACTGTCCCCACCGTACAGACAAGGAAACTAAAGAGAAAATTAAAATCATTTGTCTAATGTCACACGGTTAGTGACAATATTGGGATTCGGACCCTAAACATCTCACTAGAGTAGCCATGTGTTTTTATTCTTATACATGATAGTTTCATGAGAACGAAGGAAGAGAAGTAGAGCTGGGCAATGGTGATGCAAGCCTTTAATCCCAGCACTTGGGAGGCAGAGCCAGGTTGATCTCTGTGAGTTCAAGGCCGGCCTGGTCTACAGAGCTAGTTCCAGGATAGTCAAGGCTGTTACACAGTGAAAGCCTGTCTCAAAAAAAAAAAACTTCATAAATAAATAAATAATAAAATTTTAGAGAAGGAAAGAGAAATGGGATCTGGAGTGATGGCTCCGCAGATAAGAGTATATACATCTCTTGCAGAGGACCTGAGTTTGATTCCCAGCACCCACATCAGGTGGTTCACGACTTCAGCTCCAGGGTGACTCATCACCTCTGGCCTTCAAGAGCACTTGCACTCATACACACCTTCCCCAACAATACATATAATTTAAAAATAAAGAGAAATCTTTTGAAAATAAAAAATGAAAAAATATAAATTATAATGCACAAAGATATATGATCTCTAAATGTGGTCAAAAGACAAAGAGGCCTCTTCAAAGGACAAAAATCTCAAATGGCCACTAATCATTTAAAACAACCATTCGAACTCTGTAGCAGTCAACACAAATGACAGTTACCACAAAACAACATGCCTTTCCTCTCAATCTAGCACTCTCTCTCTCTCTCTCTCTCTCTCTCTCTCTCTCTCTCTCTCTCTCTCTCACACACACACACACACACACACACACACACACACACACACACACCACAAGGTGGACAATAAGTATTGGGGGGAATGAAATCAATTACAGCATCAAAGCCCTGCTTCTCAGCAAGTACAGTATTTTGCACAAGATCCATCATGGTAGCCATGATTATCAGTATGGCACGCCTATATTGAGGACATTAGTAAAGCACACACATGCACAAATACATACTTACAGACAATCTGGCAAAACAGGAAAGCATCCTTGTCATTTCTTATTTTTAAATGGTTAAACCCAAATCTAGCAATGAAGGAATGTTCATACAAATATAGGCTGGCATAAAATGCCAATATAAGCCAGGCAGTGGTGGCATCCGCTTTTAATCCCAGTACTCAGGAGGCAGAGCCAGGCGGATCTCTATGAGTTCGAGGTCAGCCTGGGCTACAGAGCAAGATCCAGGACAGGCACCAAAACTACACAGAGAAACCCTGTCTCAAAAAAAAAAAAAAAAAAGCCAATATAATGAAAGACTGCAAAATTAGGGAGTTATTCTTTTTCCTTTTCTTTCTTGTTTGCTTCTTTTAAAATTTTTTTAGATTTTCTTATTTTATTATTTTATGTGCTTAGGTGTTTTGCCTGCATGTATACATGTGCAACACATGTATGCCTGGTGCCCACAGAGGTCAAAAGAAGTCACTGGAGTTACAGATGACTATGAGTCAGTCACCATGTAGGTGCTGAGAATTGAACCCAGGTCCTTTGCAAGAGCAACACATGCTTTTAACTGCTGAGTCATCTCTCCAGCCCAGGTTTACTTTTTTTTTTTTTTAATCTAGAGATTGTCCTTAGCTTATTTTTCCATATCACAACTTTGAATTTGGGAATTACATGTAAGGCAGCATAACCCATCATCTTATAGTGTTTATAGCCTCTCAAGGATGCTGGAGCAGGAGGAAAGACATTTGCAAAGAACTCAAAGCAGACAATGTGTGAAGAGCTAGTTGGATAATTAAAATGTATTCTAAGAGGCCTCAAGGATGAGACATCAGCAGAGTTTGGGGTGAGCAAAGAAGGCTTTAGGAAAAAATTGGCACTTTGGTCCTGAGGTTGAGATGGAGGGTAATCATGCCTTTATTGAAGCCCATGAGGGCTGACTGAGAGATGGGTTTATCTGTGGCTGTGGCTTAATCTCCCCTATTTTCAAACTAATCTAGAGAATCTGTTTTTTTTTGTTGTTGTTCTTTTGAGACAGGGTTTCTCTGTGTAACAGTCCTGGCTGTGCCTGGAACTCACAGAGATCTACCTACCTCTGCCTCCCAAGTGCTGGGATTAAAGGCGTCTGCCACCATTGCCCTGCCGGGAATCTTGATTTTTAATGTTAAAAAAAATCTTATTTATTTTTAAGTATACGTTTATTTTTCTGTGTATGAGGGTTTTACCTGCATGTATGTCTGTGTACCATGTATGTAGTGCTTGCAAAAGACAGAAAGAAGATATTGGGTCCTTGGGACTAGAGTTACAGACACTTGGTGAGTTCCCATGTCAGTGCTGGGAACTGAACTTGGGTTCTCTGGAAAAGCAGACAGTGCTCTCCAGGCCCCAAATCTCTTATTTTAAAATGATGACATTTACAGTTTTTCAAAACATTACAGGGTACATAAAGTTATGGTTCTAATGTTGTAACTGGTGTTTAGAATTTCCAATTATTGCCGGGCGGTGGTGGCGCACGCCTTTAATCCCAGCACTCGGGAGGCAGAGCCAGGCAGATCTCTGTGAGTTTGAGGACAGCCTGGGCTACCAAGTGAGTTCCAGGAGAGGCGCAAAGCTACACAGAGAAACCCTGTCTCGAAAAACCAAAAAAAAAAAAAAAAAAAAAGAATTTCCAATTATCTCATCATTCAATGTTTGACTAGAAATCCAAATGAGGTCTTTATGTTTTCTTAATTGATATGCCCCTCCCTTTTTTTACTTCTTGACACAGGATCTCACTTTGCAGCCTAGGCTGGCCTTAAACTCATGATCTCCTGCTTCTGCCTCTTCAGTACTAGGATCATAGCTGTGTGCCAGCATGCACAGCATTGATATGCCTTTTAAGCATCTTTTAATCTACAGGTAACCTTTGGCTCTAACATCTTTGATAGACTGCTGTGAAATTAAACTTTCATGCATGAGGTAAGTCATTCAATTGTACTTTTATTGACCACCTACTCTGCCTATAAAGGAGATCTAGAAGCAAGGAAGGAAGCCCTTCCCTCCAGGGTCTACAAGTCTCAAACTGACTCTAGTTAATGATTCATTTCTTGGGCTAGAACAGTTCCCAAAGGAGCCCCAAGTATGCTGTACATTTCTCAGAAAAAGATTGGAACTGAAGGCTGCCAGCTTAAGGAGAGCTAAGTTTATTTGGGAGCCAAAAGAGACTCAGAACTGGCAAAGAACCCTGGCAGGGCTTCGCCTTTCTTCCCTGAATTTGGAAAGTGTATATTCCCTTGTGAGAAGAAGAGAACTGGAATCCTGCTAATTTTTTGTCTCTTACTTGGCTATTTCTTTCCCTCTAATCTTGCATTAGCAGGAAATACATTCAGAAAACCACAGCCATGATATGCCTAAGAATTGTTATGTTTTTTCCCCAATTAAAGGTGAAGTTTTTAAAAATTGACTTCCTATTAAAGAAACATCCAGAAGAACTTACTGGCTCTGACACATTTGCATTTCAGCTGCCACAAGCTCTGCCCTGTCCCGTGACTGGTAAGCTTTACCAGAGACATGGTGGCACTTTCTAGCCATCCTAACTTCCTGTCAGCTTCATCTATCACATCTGGAGTTGGGACCAAGCTCTGCTTTTTGCATTCTTTCCTCTTTCATCTCTGCCTCTTGTCCTGAACCAGATGTATAGGAAATACTTCGTTCTGGCCTCATCTCTTGTTCCACCTGCCCCCAGGCTCTTGCCTTTGCCCAAATCTATACTACCTTCCTGCATGTTACATACTTCTGGACGTGGAGATTTTCCACTTGGTTGATGGAAGTCTTATTGGCTCCAGAATTGCAACAGTAATTGTAACCCCTATCTCCAACTGACCCTTCAGATCCCTGTCCTCTTTACATGGATTACTGGGGTGGGGGTTGGGAGGGGGTAATTGCTTTCCCGGTTCAGCTAACTCTCCTCCTGTATGTACCACTGAATTTTAGAAAGGTGCCTGATCTTTCTTGAAATGAGGGGCTGATTTTCATCACCTGAGCTCATCAGGGTGGGAAAAAGGAGTTAGGAGAAGGGGAAGAAGTGGTCATCAGTACCATCAAGGACAAATGGAAATTAAAAACTCAGAAAGGATGGGTGTGGCCGCGAGCGAGCTGCTGGAGCTGTACATAAGTCTTGCATACTTACTAGGAGATAGCAAATGCCACCATTTGTGGAGTACAGGTCTGATAGGGATTATTTCTCATAATTCGTACAACTACTTTAGGAGCTAGCTTCCATCATCATCCCTAGCAGGCCCAGAAGAATAACTAATTTGCCCAAATTAGCACTGACGTGGCAGGGTCAAGATTCAGATCTATTTATTTCTCTAGGGCTGGTGTTCCTTTTA